CCCCAAAACCCCAAAACCCCAAAACCCCAAAACCCCACTCAAAATGATCATATTGAAAATGACTAGGAAAACATATGATCTTAATAATCTTGTCACAAATCCCCCACACATGTTCTGGGCCATCATTTAGGATCTGCTTACTCTATTAAGAGCATATTCATCAAATTGTTTGATTAGAGCCTCTCGGGCGATACCTATTGTGCCTTCACCAAGCTGGAGCTCATTCTTTAACCTATTTGTCTTGTCATACATCTCAAATAAGTATCTTGACGGCAGAGAAGAGCTGTACCTCAGGATATCTCTAAATTTAGATTTTTGCAATGCATTTTTCAAGTTTTTGTTCAAGCTATTCGTATCACTGTAGTTTTCAGGAGTTACTTCAATAGAGCATGTTGAAGATATACTAGATAATGCTTCGTCAAGATCTGATATTTCCTGATCAATCTGGGAACATCTCTGAATGTAAGCATTCTCGATGTTTCTAGTTGCCTCTAAAAATGCAACACTGATAGAGTTCTGCACTAACTGGGTGACTTCTTCTTGAACCTTAGCCAGAGAAGATACAGAATTGTCATAATACTTTGAGTACTCTTTCTTGATCTTCTTGGCTGTCTCCAAAGTATTTTCAATTAGAAGCTGCATTTCTTGATTTTGCTGATAAATGAGCTTCTTTTTCTCACAATGGTCTTTATCAACTAAGTGGTGACCTGAATGAAGTCCTGTAGAAAGACATCCGACTCAGAGATGCTCGTCTCAGTTTTGACAGTAGATAACAGCTGGTTGAGAATCATGGGAGCAGTAGTACACTCCTTCAAGCATATTATTTTGAGGGATATTCTCTTTGACAATCCTTTCTAATTCTATTGCAATTCTATTCTTAGTGAGATCATCTGAAGTGATAGACTTGCGACAGTTTGGGCAAGATTTATTAGTAGGAATCCATCTGTCCCAGCAAGTTTCACATGCGTTGTAGGAGCAGAACCTGCAGAGTAGGAGTTTTTCAACCACCTTGCTCTCACAGAGGGTGCAAGTGATCATTCCTGCATCGGATATACATTTACCTATCTGCTTTGTTGCTTCAGGGATAAGTTTTCTGGTAATTTTTGGAGAATCCTGTAATTCCTTTGTTTCTTCTTCCTCATGAGTAAGGCTAAGAGGAAAATCTTCAAAAATAAGAGGATGGCTTTTAGGCTGGAAAGGAGGAGGTGGAACTCTTTTTCTAGCAACAGGAACCTCTCTTCTTGATTGAACCTGTCAATTCTGAGTTCTGATTTCGGAGTTAAAGTAAGATTTTCAATATTTACTTGACTTATCTCCTGAATTTGAAATCGGATCAGGTCTCATTCTCATCATTATTTTAGGTAAGGGACTTGAAGAATCCTCTCTTATTAATTCTATAAATGGTTTAGATTAAAATGAGCAAATAAACAACAAAGGTAAAAGTTGTTTAAATGACAAATATAGTATTGAAGATAAAGATTTGTATTAATCAAGAAGATTAATCTTCTCATACTCTCTGATCCTGGCATTTGCCTAGTTAGAGGCTAAAACCATCGAGCTAAAGGAGTGAGCATACCATTTCTGTTTTCCATTATATAATATTCCTTCGTAGCAACGGGGTTTTGGGGTTTTGGGGTTTTGGGGTTTTGGGGTTTTGGGG